TCTAGATGAACGTTAGGGGCGCAACCGTTTAGTTTCGTTTTGGATAGATATAATTTGTTATGTAAAAAGTGATATCATTTATTTACTGGAATGCGATTGGATGCGAGTAAGTAGCTGGGAGGAATCGTCTTTCGTCATTCATTTATTGCATTCATTGCATATACAGATACCTCGTCTTAAAGTCACATCCATATAAACCATCAATAATTTTTCACTGCCAACCACTACCTCCATCTCCCCACATACTACCATCCATACTCTCTTCTCCATTTCCCATCCCTATCTCCTCCATACCAATCTCCATCCCGTCCAGCTCTCTTGTGAAAAAGTCGTGCTCTTCTTGCAATAACTTTGTATCTGCGCCCATTCTTTCTGGATATCTTCTCAGATTGAACCAGTGTGTCAGGGCTCTCAATGCTTGTTCCAATGGTAATGCTTCTTCAACTTCAGCATCCACATCACTACCTGCTAACCAATCATCTCTCAATTCAGGTCTACAATGTAGGTACACTGCCGTGATGACTCTCATGTTTCCCTGCCTCCACTTGCGACCGCAGTATGGAACTTGGTTCTTAAACAATTTTAGAGTATAAAGACGAAGTTCGGGTTGCGGAACTTTGAAGGACTTTTTGAGGATGTTGGATGATTTATACTGAACAAGAAGTAGATTCCGATGAGCTTTGTTCTTACAAATTTTTTGCATGATGCGAAGGAAGTTGATGGATGAAAAGAAATTGCGCCAGGAGAATTCAGTAATGGGTTCCGAATTGGTTTCAATAGTTGGGAAGCCAAGTTCTTCGACTTCTGTATCTCGTCGAGCTGCATGTTGACCTTCTTGAAAAGAAAGGGCTGGAAGTTGATCGTCTTTATTGATCACGGTACTATCTCTTTGTAGTTTTATCGGAGGTGGAGCGGCATCATCCTCGCTATCTTCTTCAGTGGCGGCGGCCAAAGCCCATTTGCTGTTGCTGTTACAAAATGCGAAGAAGCTGAAACCCATTAGTCATGATTTCATGTCACCAGGCAAAGAACTAACCTCAAGTCTTCACGGTCTATTCTACTGTCCACAATCCTATCTATCTCTTGATGGGCGAACATCTTGAGAATTAAAGGTAGATAATTGGAATCTAATAGAAGCTGCGTAAAGTATTCGAATTTGAGGATATCTATCGAATCAGCAAATGAGATGACATATGAGGAGTTATCAAAACCTACGGGAAACCTTGAGCCATTTGAGGACAATGAGAAGAATACCGGATACTGCCTTCGAAGTGATCTCCCTAAACCTCATTGCCTCAATCTCTTCCACTGTGAGATCTGCAAGATCAATTGGATTTGGTAAAGGTACGCTCGCGGGATCTTGGGCTTGGCCCGGTCCTCGGGCGCCGTTGCTTCGTGCACCTATAGGGACACTGCTTTGTGGTTGGGCATTTATTGACTGATTCATCAAATTTGTAACATTCGCCAACATAGCCTTGATAAGAACTATAACAAGTGATTGTAAATGCGGAATAGAATATTGCTATAGAAACTCGAGTTTTAGAGTCTGAATTGTTAAATGGGGCAATCAATAAACTTACGTAGAAAGATTCTACCAGATCCAATTTCCTTTTTACCTCATCACTAATGTCTTGTCTTGGTCCATAATCAACTTCTACTGTGGGCGACTTTGACTTTTTAGATTTGAGTCCATCAGCCAATATGTGGTCGAGATCAAGTTCTTCTATATCCTCATCGTCTCTGTCATCCCATCCACGTTCAAATCTTAGAAAACGTTCTCTTTCATCCCACAATTGACGCATAGCTCTAGTCATTCGCATTCTACCAGCAAATAGTTCACCGGCTTCCAATATCGACTTGGGAATATCACTTCCCTCCCATTTACGACCTACAAGTAAATCCTGTAGTCCTGCATTGCCTTTTCCACCGGCACTATTGCTAGTGCTATCAAGAGGTGGATACATAAATGGGAAGTTTTGATTTGTTTGATAGTTTTGTTTCTTGCCTGCCTTTCCTCCAACTGGTGGAGATGGAGGTGGCGATGGAGCAGGTGTAGCTATATGAACTGGCTGATGAAGAATTGAAGCTCCACTGCTATGAACATTCGTTGGAGGATTCATAACGCCGGTTGTGCTAGCTCGGCTTGGTCTATTCGGTAATGGTGGTAATATGGAATTATTATCGGGCTCTAGGGGTATTAAAGGTTCCGGGGGAATGTATGCAGGGTATTTTGAAGTAATTTCTTGTCGAAAGATATGATAGTCAAGAGGGGAGGCAGTGATTATCTTCTCGCCACCTGAGTTGGCCAGTTCATCGGTTGCCCTTTTGACTTTATCGATTTCTTTAGTGCCTCCGAAAACTAATAATATGGATTTCCAAAACAGTAGAAAGATCTGTGTACAAAGAAGTAAGCTACCAGGTCTTGTGATGTCTCATTACATTACTGACTCGTGTTTGGGGTAACTCGTTGGCCTCATCCCATCGTAACTTCCCAGTAATCGTCAACAGATAATGTACAATGTTTGGCTCCAGGCCCACTGCGATCTCAAACATTAGTATATGGAGAACACGAATGTGCATTAGGACATATACTTACGAAGAGTCTTCCTTGCAAGGTCAAGAGAGTCCGTATGACAGCGGACGCCTTCTATCGTCAAATAGAATATAGTCATCACATTATCGAGCTCATCCTGTACAAACGGTATATCATCCTCTGTTATTTTCGTCTCTCGAAATTCGTCATCCCTTTCGCATGGTCAGTTGCGTTTCACGGCACAAGATGTTTCTACCCTCACCATAAATGTTTGAAAGCGGTTTCCATGACTTCGAAGACCATTTCAATTCCACCACTCTCTGCAAGAAGTGATATGCTTCTCTTCATACTTTCGACGTGCGAAAGTGTCGCTTTCGTTCTTCTTTTCTTTTCGCCCGATTCAATGGTCTCCAATTCCTCCTTCTTTCCTGCATTTTCATCCCAGTTACCTAGTATTATATGTAGTAAAGTTTGTAAGCTTTTACATCTCCTCCGCAGGTCGCTAGCATGCAGGCCCTGAACTTCCCTCTTGACGAATTTCAGTTGTTCCTCCCGATCGACTTCCGTCCAAGGTTTCGCAGAAAATTTCTTCCATCTTCTCTGGAAAGTATCCTTCGCTCTGTGTAGCCTTTTGAACTCTGCCTCGTTGTACGAAAACCACTCGTCCACCTCTTCTTCAAACGTTGCTGTGTCGCTATAAACGAAAGTATATGATGTAGGATCAACCTTTGGAAATTCAGTAACGAGTTTCTTCAGCTGCATCAAGGAAAGCGAATCGTTCGGATTGCCAACCATCTGCTGGGACGAGGGCGGTGGTGGGGGCTGATGTGGTGGAGGAGGTTGAGGTTGATTGCGTGCAAGTTGAGGGCGTGCCGTAGGAGCACTGGTGGAAGCTTGAGATACTGGAGTGGGTGCAGGAAGACCTACATCTGCAAAACCAGTATCTGCCACATCAGCGACAGCCTTTGGAGGAGGGGCATCTGGAACTGCTGGTTTTGTCCAAAGCGACATTGTGGGTAATTTAGCGCGCTGGTGAAAGGGTGTAATTCGGTCAATCGTCAAATCGCAACATCGTGAGTAAAATTAATCATGAAACATTCATCAAGGTAAACATGAGGAAATTAGAATGTGCAAACTTGTAAATCGTATCGCAATTTCACATTTCCCCATATTGATGGTTCGCGCTTGACGCGATTGAAACAGAAAGCTATCTCGCTTATGATAAGAGATAAGACTTGCATTGACTGAAGTGCGGCGCATATCTAGTAAAGTAAAGGGTGCCATCAAAAACCAGTTCCAAAACAGTGTTGATAATAAACACATGTTATCAACGAATAGCAAGTAAGAAATTTCAACTTCATAAGCCAGCCTCTTCACTACCAATCCAACATCTTTGAGCCCTGATTCAGTTCTGCTTATAAACTACCGGGCTAGGCTCAGTGGTCATAATTTTGATTATTGTGTCTGCCGATTGCTGCGTCGCGTTAGTCTTCCAGATGAAGTGGGAAACATATCTAGTTGATTGAGAAGATCACCATCTCATCAGCCTCGATTCCAGCTCTATGCTCTTTGACATCAGTCTTGGACTAAGAGCGGCCTCATGAGGGACACCTGGTTTAGCACGACAAAATGAATAGAAGAAAGCTTTTGTGAGTTAATTGATCTTTGTGCATGATCAGGATAATGCGATACTTTTGACACCGAGCGGCTCGTTCTCTGGATTTGCCGATCCTTCTCTAGCATGACTCCATGAGGCTCGGGCTCGTACCTAGCCACCCAATGAGCATCGAGACATAAGTACAATCTGCCTGCGAGTAAGTGGGCCAATGAAGTTGCTGTTTGCCTCGGATAATAGGTGAACATTGGTATCTCAGGGTTCCAATTGCACAACCAAGGTTGTGGCAGGATTCCAGGACCCATTCCGCGACCCTATCTCGCGCTTTAGATGAAGTTTGCATTGCCCATTTTCCTTCTCGCGTTCACAGTTCAACCAATACATTGAAGGGAATGTAGCGAATCTGCCTTACCATTTCTGCTGCTAGGATATAGCTCGGAGCACAAAGCTTTTACAGTAGTTCAATTTATCAACCATGCGCGATGCACCTAGTGGAGTAAATGTCGATAAGATTTTTCAGTACCTCGTCTCAAGTATACAAATGTGTGGATACCCATTATAAACCAGCATGGTAGTCTCCATGAAGCGGTGGCTTAGCTGAACTATTCACCATAATCATGGTGTAATTCACACAATATAACTGTGGGTGTTCTCGAAGAAAAGATGGTTGTATGCGCGTCATCAGAACCAGTAACGCAAGTGTCTGCCTCACTAGTCGAATTGTGTCTACAAACCTTGCTTCTATATTCATATCACACTTGATTATGATCATTTACAAGTTGATCCGTAAGATCACTGTGTTGCATTCGCTGGCACGAAGAAGTGCAGGCTGTCAGGGTGACCAATCGAGACCTTCTGAATGAGCGTTATATTGTCTCTACACTATCGCGGAAGCATACTTGAAGAGTGTAGTATGCTTATTACTAAATAACACAGTTTTGTGGCCTACTCGTGGCTACTAGACAACTCCCTGACTTCGCCCCTTGCTTTGATGCTCTAATCCTGCTCTGAAAGATTTCTATTCTTTACAAACTATGAAATTAATAATTAAGTGTAAATGATATATACATGAATTTTCATGAAATCGTGAATTTGGTGATAGAACTCTAAGGTAGCTCGTGCGCTTCGTTGGCGCGAGCTGGTTGAGAATGCAACTCGTGACGTGCGATGACCGGGACTGGTTTGGCATGTAACTCCTGTGGAATATAGTGAGGGAACTGTATCTGGTCCGCATAGCTGTGATGGTATCCCGGCGGGTGCTTTTCAGCCATATTGGTGGCAACTGCAGCCTCAGCGATAAGGTTCCTTTTCCTTTTCTTTTGCGAGATGTACCAAATGAGGATTCCTCCAATAATTGAAATCACAGCAACGGATCCAATAGCTGCGCCCACAATGAGCCCCGTCGATACCTTTCCGGAACTTTGGCTGTCTGCAGCCGATGTACTAGTTGGTGTTAAAGTACTATTCGAATTTCTCAAATCACCGTTGGCACTATTATTATTTGGTGTAGAGGGTGAGGTGCAAAAATCATCCATAGGGTTATTTCTGCCATCAACAGCCACCAGGTCTTCGTTCTCGGTAGGATTCGCTTCCCAGAGTGTGAAAGTCTTTGCATCTTGGTTTAACATCAAGTAAGCGGCAGTTAGGAATTGTCGTCCTAGCTGTGGGAGGTCATTCGCGTTACCAGCTTGAATTGCATTGAGGACGAGTTCTGGTTCTGACGCATTTGCAACTATGGCGCCTGATGTATGGTCGATTGAAAGATTTGGAACGATCAACTGATCGTTCGGTATGCGGACAGAAATTCCAGAATCTAATTCGATGGTTAAATCACCAGCATATCTATGAGGATTGTTAGCATTTCTAAGAACTTCTTATTATGATTACATACGCACGGTGTTGAGTCGCGAGGCCCACCGCCATAGAGCAAGCCATAGTAGTACATTCCAAACGATCTGTCAGATATTGTTTGGTTGGTAATTTCCTCGAAGTTCAGGAAATAAGGGTCAGTTGGGATCGTCAATAAGACGGGGTAGCTTGGCTCGATGCATGCTTGAATAGCATCGGATTCAATTCCGCCGAATATACTGGCATCAGTACCATTTGGGAAATTGAGTACCATATTGGTGATTGTAACCAGCATTCCAGAAAAACAAGATGTCTTGGAGTAAGTAAGAGAACGGGTATAATTTGCCCCAGTGACCTTGGCACGATCGTAACCTCCAAAAACAAATCCGCCATCGAGTTGAGTCGCTGACGTCGCTCCAGTTCGTCCCCAGAACATGGACCACGTTCGAGATGCTATCTGGCCTGATGAGTAGAGCGTGTTTAGAATGGTCGAATTGGTGCCGAGCCCAATGGCCATTTGCGGATAATAACTTTGTTCTCCCCAATCTGCTTTCGGTATTCCAATGGGAAAATCGAGCATGCTCACATTTGAACTCAGCGTTATGTTGTCGGATACCATTGTGAGCTGTGGGTATGGCGAGGCGTCGGATGGATAAGCATTAGTCGCCGGTACTCCACGGCTTTTGGATGCAAATTCATTGTATGAACCACCACGAAATGTCGTACAAGCAGCGGTAGACCAACTGGAACCACAGAATCCATCCGTTCCGTAAATAAAGGAGTTATTCAATGGCCTAAGTAAAGTAAGTAAAGCTTCATGGTCTCAGAAATTGCAAGCTCACCATTGCGGTAAGAAGGCGAAATGCTGCTCTGGATTCCCGACAGATAAATCTAAACCTCGTGCTATCTCTCCTGTTGACAGTGTCACGTTTCCAATGCGTATAGGAATAGGAGGAACACTACAGGCAGCGGAACTAAGACTGGCATGAAGAATAAGAAGCCAAATTTTGATCATCAACTGCAATCGACCAGCGAAAGCCATAGCGAGGGTAGGCAGAAATGAATTCAAATTCTGCAAGAGGATGCAACGAAAGATTGCTTTCTTGGGATGAAAAGGAGAAAGCCTCACAATGTATGGGATTTGCGTGACTTGCAGTAAATATGTCGGGAACTCGGTGCTTACTAGTTCTAATGTAGCGCTACGAATAAAAACCTGCAAATGTACATGGTTACCAAAATTCGGGCAATGTCCGCGAGATGAACCCGGTTCAAAACGGCAATGTTTTGAGCCCTTACACTAACATGGTGTCAGAGGCGAGATGGAAGGACGATGTATGGAGTCTTCTATCTACTCTGTTGGTTGTAATCTAGCTCCTTGCGTATAGAAAATTACAAAACCATGAGGCGATCCCGCCACGCCATAATTGCTTGCAGGATTTCGCTTGACTGTCGCGTTGTACCAAAGCAACTATAATTCTATTGGTAGCAAATGGCCAGTCTTTGGCTCATTTTAACGTTCAGCGCTCACCCACAGCGCCGGTAGCCAGTGACAGCTGACTTCGAGAGCAGATATCAAGCTTTTCATCGCTAAGCAGATGGTTCTTAATTCTATGAAAAGGTAAAGTCTTGTGTTGGCGTTTAGATCTCTAAAAATCCTCAAGGCTGATAGTGAAAATTGTCTCCATTATTTGATTATCAGACGGCGGGGGACTGTATAAATAAATGGTCCAAGGTGGGTTACACGGCACCCCTAGCGATCACCTATCATTAACCGAATGAACTTGTTTTGATGAGCCCGCTTAGGTTATTTATGCATCCATTGCAACGGTGATAATGCAACTAGCCCAGTGGAGCTATCCGAATATGCCCAATTTTATAAATATCTCCAGGGAGGCTCGAGCCGCATGCTGAGTGGTGCATTTTCATAAAGTTCTCGCTACTCATGCATGTGACACGGCAAGTGGCTAAATGCGGTTATTTTGCCGATTCCGACGGTTTGGTAAATGAGTACGTCGCATAAACGCGAAAAATACATGAACTTCATTGGTTGTTATGTGAATACGATAGCAGAAATCAGGTTCTGCGTTCTGCGCCCTCAAGGGCCCCTGAAAGTGCCGATAAATCACCAGAAGGGCCAATTCATCACCCATTCCTCAGCAAACACAAATTTCATGCTTAAAGAACAACTGCCGGAAATGGGATGAAAGATACAACTTTTCGGTAGAAAATACTGATATTCCTTCCGCATTTTTTTAAGGCAATAAATCGTAGGCTACAATGCGCTTACTTGGAACTAGAATAGCTGTCCGTGCTACGCTCGCGCGCGGCAAGCAAGATAACGGTACGTTTCGTCTTCTACCCTTCATTGCATGATACTTGAATAACACTGGCTGTAAACTTTAAGGGGGGCGAGCAGGGAATTAGATGAGGGGGCGGAAGGAAGGATGGTACAGGCTCTTCTATAGGCTCGTGCCAGGCCCTGTCGACGTGATTGTGGGGCCTAGCAAAATTGATCGGCCGGAAGTGTAGAAATTGGCTGAAAAAATGAGGGTGGATATACCCTCAGGCACGTAGTGCTCCGTGTACGAGATGAAGCTTATCCCCCAAATATCTTGTTCCTGAAGAAATCGTCTTATGCTTTATCATTTACAAAACTATTGTCGAAAGTTTGCGTGAAAAGACATGAAGAAGATGATTTCAGTCCCCTTCCAAAGGCACAGGTCGATGACCTTTCTTCCTGTCATTGTGTTTCTTTTTTTAGTTATAATTTCCTTATATCAATTACCGAACGAGGCTCAGATCCAAGATTATCTTCCAAAATGGCCATCTCACACGGAAGAGCCTCAAACACAAGTTGATCTTCCAAAGTGGACAATGGATGTCCCTCCAGAGTACAATGTCGACTCTTACCATTCCTCCTTCTGTGCTGAGCGTTATGGTCGCCCATATCTTGAGAACTTGCGTGATTCCGCAACTGAATACTGCATGCCCGGTTCCTCCACGAATTTGACCTGTTTCCATACTACCGAATGGCCGGGTTCGGGTAGAGACACCATGTGTCTTGGACAAGCAGCCAGTTGGGACGCTTACGAGAAGAAATTTCAGCTCGGGTGTGACATTAGACCGCTCGACGGAGAGGAGAAAAGTAAAGGATATCCCGAATACAACAGTTTCCGCTCTTATTGGTACGGTACCGGCACAAAAGTTATCTTCGACGAAGTTGTTTCAAAAACCAAGCATCTACGTCAATATCCTACAACGAGTAACTACACCATCCTCATCAAACGAGAAGGTGCCCTGAATCCATGGCACTGCCTTATGGAAATTTGGTCAACGATGATGACCATGGATGTCCTACGCATGTCTGTCAATCCCGCTACAAACGCACCCTTTTATATCTCCGAGGATGTTCGAGACACTCAGATCGCCATTCTTGACGATCATGTCGACGGATTTTACATTGACCTTTGGACAGCGGTGGCCCAGAGACCAATCATTAGACTTAAAGAGCTCTCTCAAACTACAGAATTTGAGAATATTATAATACCATTACCGGGTGCTAGTAACCCCATCTGGCAGGGAGACTGGACGATTCATGATTGCGGGCAGTCTGAATTACTACGCACTTTTTCCGACCGAGTCCTCAGCTTTTACAATGTGGAATCTTGGAAATCTCATGATGGTGATATCATTATTACCTACATTGATCGACGTCGTCGACGACTCGTTGGCCAAGAGTCTTACCTCGAAGAACTCCAATCACAAGACCCTCGCGTCAAAATCCAGATGATTGATTTTGAGTCCATACCTTTTTCCGAACAAATTAAAGTAGTCCGAGAAACTGACATTCTGGTCGGAGTCCATGGTGCCGGTTTAACCCATGGCATCTTTCTTCCGGAAGGATCAGTAATGGTCGAGATCTTGCCAGAGGGACTAAACCATAAGGGATTTCGAAACCTTGCTGGCCTTCGATCTCACACATATTTGAGCGTGCATGCCTTGAAGCTTCCGGCTCCTTCACGCGGGACAAAACGTGCTGAGTGGCATTCGGAAGATGTCTCGCTGGATCGAGAACGTTTTCTAGATCTGATGGAAGTCGCTATAAGAAGCGTATACAATAAAGGACTGAGGAATTACGATGTCAATTAGCGATGTAATTCTTCTTATTCTGGTACCAATATAGATGTCATAAAAATAGTTGAGGTAGTTTGGCGATTTTGTTTAGGGCTCAAATTGAACTTGTAGATGGTGGATGACATTGCCGCTGTATAAACCCACATAGCTTAGTCTTGTAGAATATCTAAATTTGAATGAATATAGACTTGCTAAAACTGTGCAATAACGACTCGTGGCTTATTATACAATTTCGTTCGGAAGCACAATAATCATGAAAACAAGGACTATATCTCGGAGCATTCCATGATTGATCTCGACCTTATCCCTATATGAGATTGCTATCGAAACTCACCATTTTTGCACCAATTCATACAAGAATGAAGGTATAATTTCTTTGCGAGACGATATAAGAAGCAACGGAATAGTTTGTATAGATAACACGGAGCATTGTATAGCAATGTTGCTGCGGAAGTGTGAATCGTTAGCTTTACTCAAGAACTATTGCTGGACGGGCACTCAAATATTGTGAGATGCCAAAATATACAATAAACCGTTATTCTATGTAAAACACTCATTGAGAGAAAAATCCAACTTAATCAATTCATCAATTTGAAAACTATAATATACATTGCCCGCCCTCAAAAGTACTGCAAAAACCCCGTATTAAGTCGCCGAAATGACACAAACAGACCCAACTCCACTAAATGCACACAAAAGAAACACTTTCTACAACTTTGTGGGGTCAAAATTTTGCCACGAATCATGATCAACTTCTTCTGCTTCTTCGGGACGATATGTGGTGGCTCCAAGTACAAGCAACAGATTGAAACCAAACACCAAGTAAATATAGACAGGCTGACCAAGGCGAACAGCGGCTATGGTGACAGAAGCATCCACAGTCTTCGTATCATTGGCAATCATTAATTGTGCACTGGCATAGCTCACGAGAAGATCATCTATCATTGCCGTCACCGAGTTTTGAATTCCTGCAAGATTGATATCTTGCTCACGTGGTGGGCTGCCGGTATAATGTGGGCTGTTGACGTAGGTACGATAATCCGCAATGCTGAAGTTGAGCGCGTTTCCTATGACACTCTGTAAAGAAGTTAATAATTTGATCCGTTGTATTGAAGGAGGGGGTTTCATCATACTTGATAGATATTTGACATATCATTGGAGGAAAGCTCGAATTGTCTTTCAAGAACATGCGTGAGATTTCCTGAAGGTTCGATGTCAATCGCAGGTATGTTTGTTGGTGTGACGGTGATGGTTTTATCTGAAAGCACAACGGAGACATCGAACAGTGTTGGTTTGAATTCAGTTCTGCATTGAGCCTTGTTGAGATTTCCATAATCACTTCCTGCTGCAATTCCAAGGTACCTCGGATTGTAACCTGTATTATCCGCAGCAACTCCAAAAGCAACGATGGAATTCGACTTATGTCCCAGGTAAACAGAGAATTCACTAGATGTGCTATCAGGTAGAAAGCCTCGAGCGGCAAACAATTGTAACCCATCGTTCACCAATTTGAAATCGGAACTTTGGTTATAGATACAACTAGTCTCGGCTGAATAACCAATTTCTTGGAATGTATAGCCGGTGACAATGGAAGTATCGAAAATGTAATCATCTGAGAGTCCAACTGACGCCCCAATACCAAACGAGCGGCCGACATACATAAACTTTGAATTATCATACTTAGCATGTTGACGTGGAGATCCATCCATGGTCGTTGCTGTAGAAATAGATTGTGAAAGAAGGCCTTGATATGCCATGGCTGGTGAGTAAGTGAAAAATCCTCTGTCGCTTCGTAGAGTGGGCCCCGAGGAATTGATCTCTGATGGCCACTCACGTACTGAAGACATGTTCGAGTACTGAGGAAGCAGGATTGATGCCGGTCGAGAAGAGTGGGTATCCACGGGAGTTATCGCACCTGCCCATAATGGGCATGGGACTGCACATGCAAAGGCAAAGAGCATCACAAGAAGAAATTGAGCAAAGCACAACTCCCAACGTTTTGAAGACAAGCTGAACCCGTTCCAGAAGTTCAACAAATCCCGGGGGATTGACCGTTGTACTAGTCGTAACCGAGTGGCATAATTGCAGAGACGCCAAATCGCTGCCATTTGAATCAAACCAAGTCCACCAGCAAGAATATGAACTTCAATTTGCACTGAAGCTCGATTCCGAATAATGGAGTCGTAGAAAGCACCGCCAGAGATGGAAAGATGACGTTGGTCTGCAGCTAGAAGAAGACTGCTAATAATTGTGGGAGCGATGAGGCCCAGGAAGGAAAGATACCGGTTGCCTATCTCAGCAACCCGGCTTCGTGGTGTCTGAATCTTCTGGCTCGGTAGCAGTTTCTCAGTACTTTTGATGTCGAAATTCGACGATCCCGCGTGCCGAGAAGATTCTAGGTCATACATCGAAACCATGTTTTTTTCTTTGCAAATGAAGATAGAAAGTAAAAGAGGTAGAAATGGGTGATCTGTATAATCATACAAATCAGTGAGCAACACTTATCTTATAATGTCACTCAAGCCAACATAGAGGTCTAGTTTGTAAGTAAGACACAACTGTGAGTCTCGCAAAGGCACAGTGCATATTCACATGCAGCAATCAGCGCGCGTCTTTCGGGAGCAATGTAAAACCATTGATTATGACAGATCTCTAGCGAAATCACACAGCATGGACCCGACAGAATGGTTCAAAAATCATTGTTGGAAAAATCATTGGGCAGGACATGAGGAGCATAGTTTCATGCTGTGGTATCGAAACCCCCGTCGCAAGTGGCTTAGCCGCCAACATTTACTGCGATGAGAACCTGAAACCCCACCACAGAAATCGCCAGGGCCGTTCAGAACTACCGAGCCCCAATAATGCTTCAGTATAAAACTAAGTCAGTCGTGTTACATTGACAACTGCATCGAGAAGACTTAGCCGCCCAAGAATTGTGCATTCCCGGGTTTAAGTATAATTTTAACTTTACTAAGATAAAAACTTGTTCGAGGCTTTGAAACGTAAGAAAAGCAGTTTAATTCAGACTGAGTGAGTGTACAAAACGCTCCGAGAGTGTGCCTCGGCTTGCTTTTGGGCCATAAAATGTCACCGAGACAAACAACAGTTATAAAAGTTTTCTTTAGCCCTGCTCGCTTAAGGTTATCGAGCAGATCACAATCTAATCTTGCTGATGAAAAACTGACCGCCTTCGTTGCTCTCATGTCGGCAGAAACTCGGGTTCACACCCCCTCGTCCCTTTCATTGACTCCATTGGAGATCGTAACCCAATGCGAAGATGGCTAGATGCTTCCCTCGTCTATATCATACTCTGTAGACCTCAAACACATATGACAGCCTAATTCTTGCACAACCAATTCTCCATATGTCATCTGAAACTTGGCCTAGAGCAAACAACTGGGCGGCAGAGAGCAGATGAAAAGCACAGAGGCGAGGGATCGAGAATGTTTATCTCCCGTGATCAACGGAATTATGCTCTTTACTTTAGAAATTCATGGGGGGTCATTGACGGTGGGAAATCTTCAACCCTCTCAATTTACATTGATTAACTATTGGTTCGAGAAGGATACGGAAGACGTAGTACTCATGGTATTCGTAGATGCTAAATGTCTATATTATATTCTATCTAAAGAACTAGTTAAGTATAGGAAGTTATAAGTTTTATATAGATGCTATAGGAGAAGCTAGTTTCTTCTGTTTTTGCTTAAGGCTATTGTATCCCGTATTTACTAAAAACTATAATTTATTTATTTATTTTATTTATTTATTTATTATTTTACATCCGGGGGGTAAGCCATAAAAACTTGTCATAATCTTCCAGGAAGTATTATAAATGAACTATACTAGCAATTTTATATATATATATAATTGCTAATTGTTACGGGAGCTGCCTCTAGAGTCACGTGGAAGTGTCTAGAGATCTCTTGAGATGGTTTAGATTAAACTTCAAATAGGAATTCAATAAGGTTATAATTGGTTGTAATTCTTGTAATTATAATAATAAAACTAATAATTATTCTTGAACATAAAGTTTTACATATAAAGAAACCCTATTCCTTATATAGACCTTTGTTCTGCTTGGATCCTTTGGATCTTATGGATCTAGATATTTATTCTTCGATCCCCTAGATCCTCTAGGTCCATCACGTGACCGTTTGGCCATGTGACGCGGTATGTTGGATACCGTCGTAACACTAATATAGCTAAATATTCTATTCTTTTATAATTGTAATATTAGCGAAGAGTAAGTAGTGTTATAAACACTACTTATTATTTTTGTTAACAAGTTTAGATTATCTAGTTTACTTTATGTTGAAAAGTTTAAGAATTGTTTGGGGTTTTTATAAAAAGATAAAGGTTGTAGATCGATAAAGATTGAGGTGATTGGGTTGTTGAAGGTTGAAGTGATTATAAATTGTTGTAAATAGACAATTAGTATTATTAAGAAAGAAAAGTATATTATAACTATTTGAATATAAATGAAATCATTTTTATAAAAATAAGGAGGCGGGGGTGGTAATAAAATGAAGGTTTCTTTATATCAAAGCTAAATAATTAAGAAGGGAATATAATGTTTTTTTTAATTGTATATAAATAACAAGCTATAAATTTGTAGATAATTAGACTTTGAAAAGACAGATATCGATTAGGATATAATTCTGAATAGAAATAGGCATAAATTATTTTACCATTGAACTGTTACGGGAGCTGCCTCTAGGGTCACGTGGAAGTGTCTAGAGATCTCTCGAGGTGGTTTAGACTAGACTTCAAGTAGGAATTCAATAAGGTTGTAACTGGTTGCAATTCTCGTAACTATAGTAATGAAACTAATGATTGTTCTTGAGCACGAAGCTCTATATTGTAATGAAACCCATTCTTTATATAGACCTTCGTTCCTTGTTGTCCCATTGATCCCATCGTGTCCCACCAGGTGGGAGCAGTGGGATCCAGTGGGAATCTCTAATCCCGTGACTTTCTGATCAGGTGACTCGGTATGTTAGATGTCGTCGTAACACTATCCCCTTCCTAGCTTAGCGCTTGTCCCAAGCGTTTATAAAGTGAGTTTCCCCCCACTTGATTAATTCCGTAGTGCCTTCCTTTCTGTTTGTTATGATGTCCGTTATTCGTTCTTCAAAATAAGTGTAGTCGCTGTTTGGAGAAGAACCTTGAGTGTCGGGTGCTTCCAAATGCTGTGCGCTGTGGTGAATGTATAAAGAGTGTGGGCAGTGATCGTTGTGATGTGTATGGCCACTCTGCGGGCGATTGGTCTTGTGTTAATTCTGAGGAAGAGCGTCTTGAGTTCGAGGAGGAGAAGGCTGCGAATGCTATGGCTGAAGCAGCTGCTCGGCTGGCTCCTGCGAAGGCAGAAGCGTGTTTTGCGGGAAAAGGCTGGCAAAATGCTTCAACATGACCTTCGTACTATTGAAGCTCTTGAAGAGTTTGAGGCTGAGGAACAGCGATTGGAAAATGAGCGTATTGAGAAGGAAAAGGAGTTGGCGTCTGTCTCTGCTGCTGGCCCTAACGACGGTTCCTTTGTTTTCGATTCTTCTTCTTTGGACCCTTCGATCCTGGCTTCAATGGATTCTCCTTCCTTCTGGGCAAATCCGGATATTGCTGGTGGAACGCCTCCAACTTCTCAGGGCAGTTGAGGTTTGTTCTTGGTTCCCATGAATTTTCGGTATGTGGATAATCTAACCATTTGATCAAATATTTAATTGTGCCTCTGACGTATTTACAATCTAGTATTGTTTCGACATCGTATATGGCGTTCGGGTTGACTGGTTCGATTTCCGTTAATGGCGCATTCGGCGCTCCTGGTGGTGCTGGTTCGAGCAAGGATATATGGAATACTGGGTGAATATTCATTGTGTCTGGTAATTTCAATCGATAGTTAACCGTTCCTATTACTTTATCAATCTTGAATGGTCCTAGTTTCCTGTGGTCGAGTTTATTGCTTGGTCTTTTGATTTCAAGGTTTCGTCGTAGCAAATAAACTTTATCCCCCTCTTTAAGCGTAGGTTCCATACTACGTTTCGTATTGTAGTACGCTGCTGTTCTGGATGATATGAATCTTAGATCGAGAGCAAGCTGCTCTTGTAAATCCTTTAATTGTTCGACTTGTATTATTGCTGATTCGGCATTAACTTCTTGTGGTATCGGAATTTTATACGCTTGTGGATTAAACCCAAAATTAGCCCGTGCTGGTGTGATTTTCGTGGTTTCCGTTTCCGATGTGTTATATGCGAATTGTGCCATAGGTAATAGTTCTACCCAATTGTCTTGTCGATAATTTACATAGCATCTAAGATATGCTTCCATTGTCTGATTGGTCCTCTCTGTTTGACCATCTGTTTGTGGGTGGAAAGATGTCGATAACTTTCTCTTGATACCCATAAGTGCTAATAAGGTAGTCCAGAATTTCGAGGTAAAGAGCTTGTCTCGATCCGAGATTATCTCATCCGGTACTCCGTGTATGCTTACTATGATCCTAAGGAATACATATGCTAGTTGCTCAGCATCCCATGTTTCCTTGAATGGTATCATATATGCAAATTTCGTTAGCCTGTCTACTATATTGAGTATCGCATCGTACTCAACTCCTGTAGTAGGATCCTTTGAGAGTGGTAGTTTGACCACAAAGTCCCATGTGATGGACTTCCATGGCTGAGAAGGCATGTCTGGGGTCTGGAGCTGACCATACGGAGCATGTCGTGATGACTTGTTTCGTATGCAGGTGTCGCAACTTCCAACAACTTCTTCAACTATCGTTCTCATTCGCGGGAAATAACTGATTTCCCGGATTCTTGCAAACGTCCTTGCAATTCCTTGATGTCCATGTGCCGGCAACCCATGTTGTTCCGTCACAAATTCCTTGGTCATTTGACTCGGAATGTATACTTTCCCATGAAAGTATATGGTTTCGTTTTCTATTGTGAATCCTGGTTCTATTGCCTTGCGTATGCGTATAGCTGTAGCATCCTTGTCGTAATGTGATTGGATTTGGTTTCTGAGATGGTTGTCTTCCAATATATGAGTAGCTGCAAGCTGTGGTGCATTGTAAACCAGTGATTCGCCTTCTTTCTTGAATATAGCGTACGATTCGTACGACTTATTTTCTTGATATCCTGGTTTTCGGCTAAGAGCGTCGGCTCTAGCGTTTTCTGATCCTTTGACATATGAAATCTTAAAATTGTAATTGGCCATGGTCTCCGACCATCTGACCTGTCGTCTGTTTAACTGCTTCGTTGTGGTGAAGTAAACCAAGTTCTTATGATCTGTGTACACTTGTACTGGGTATTTTGATCCTTCCAAATAAACTCGCCATTCTCTAAATGCGTCGACTATTGCCAGTAATTCTTTGTCGTATATTTCATAGTTCAACTCGGCTGGTGATAGTTTTCGAGAGTAGAATGCGATT